CCTTGGTGCTGCCAGGCAGCGGGGATGCCCTGCAGCGCGGCACGGGGACGATGCACAGGGTGCTGAGGCACCTGCACAGAGTGCTTGTGCATGCTCATGTGCAAGCAGGTGTGCAATGCACACGCACTCCGTGAGCCAGGACTTGGTCTGCCCCAGGCTTTGCAGAGCTCTGGGTGCAAGGACACACACATGGTTAGTGAGGGGACAGAGACCCCCCCAGGTCAATCCTTCCAGGACCCCTCTGAGGTAGCCACAGCCCCCAAAATAATGGTGCCTGCAGCATGTGGGCAGGCAGGGTCTGGGCACCCAAGCTACACGGTGCTATTCCACACTCCTGGGCCTTTGGAGGCAATGTCCTGAGCTTGGGGAGCACCTTGGGGTGGCAAATGGGGGCCTGTGCCCAGGGAGGGCACTGGAGTGAGATGAGAGGAGAGCTGGAAAGGGTGCTGGAGGTGGAGGAGGGAAGCAGGGTGGGGCTCCGGGGAAGTGTGTGCCCAGGTGGAGCCGGAGCCGGATCCTGGCACGGATGTGCTGGCGTGGCCAGGCTGGGCTGCGGGGCGGGCTGCCGAACCCCCGGCAGGCGGCCCCGGGAGCCCCTGCTTGTGTCCCCTAACCGCCCCCCCATGCACCCTGCAGGTCCCTCTCTGCCGGACATCCCCAATGCTCCCGGAGTCCCCTTGTCCGCTCTATGAGTCCATAACCCCCATTACACCCCTGGATACTCCCCCCTCTATCAGCCTCTGCCCTGATCACTCTGGCCATGCTGGACGCCTGGTTTGTGTCAGACACAGGGACAGGAGTAACCCATGTCCCTGCCACATGCTTATCCCAAAGGGAAGGACCGAGGGAACAAATCCCCCTGGCTCTGGCTCCAATCCCCACTCCCTCTCTGCGTGGGTCCCTGCGCGGTAAAGCCAGTACTTTGCCATCTCCCAGAGCAGAGCATCCCCCTGCTCCCTGTGCATGGACCAGCACGCCCAGCCAAGGTGGACGTGGCCGCCTGAAGGCTCCAAGGAGCCTTGTGGGTGAGAGCTCCAGAGGGGATGGGAATAACCCCCTCACACAGGCCGCCCAGGCAAGAAGAGACCAGGGGTCCAACCCCAACCTGGGAAGAGGAAAACGTCTTTCCTGGTGCTGAGAGCTGGGATCGCTCCCTAGAGCCTGGGAATAGAGGGATGGGGCAGGAGTGACCTTACCCCCAGCCCCACCTGGTGACAGGGGCCCTGCAGCTCCCGAGCGGGGAGGAAGAGGCAGGAGCATTTTTTTTTTTTTTTTTTGACAAATGCCTTTATTTGCTACCAGATTCAGGTCTATTGCACAGCAGGCCCCGGAGGCTGGGGGGCGCGCGCCCTGCCCCTGCTCAGTGCTGGACGCGGCGGATGGATTGGATCTGGTTGGTGTGCGCCTGGCTGCTGTATTCGTTGTACTTCTTGAACTCGCCGTTCTGTCTGTCCCGCTCCAGCACGTACTGGTAGCCCCTGTATCCTGGGTACTGGTATGCCACCCACCTGCGGGGACAGCCTCCCTCAGCTCCCCCAAATCTGCCCCCCACTCATCCCCTCCTCTCTGCACCGTTGTCTCCTCCTGCCCCTGTCCCTCTGCACCGCCTTTTTTACCCTATGTTGGAAGTATGGAGGTGCCTCGTGGCCAGGGGTGGCAAGCGCAGAGTCCCCTCCCTTTGGGATGCCCCATCCCATGGGATGCTGGTGCCCCCCCGCGCCAGCAGGACTCACGCTCCAGAGTTGACTTTGATGGATGCCACCTCCTTGTTGCCCCAGCCCATGGCCTGCAGCGAGGGGTAGTCGTCGCTCAGCTCAAACTTGTGCCCCTGGAAGTTCTCCGCCTCGTAGAGGATGGCTTTGCTGTCGTTGTGGTTCTGCCGGAGCAGCGGGACGGGGCTCAGCGCCCGCCGCCCCCCTGCCGCCTGCTCCACTCGGGGGGCTGAGGCAGCGGCGAGGGGACACGGGTAGCGGATGGGGCCGGGGTGACGCGGCGCACGGAGAGGGGCAGCAGGAGGAGGGGGAACTGGGCTGTGGGAGGTTGTTCAGCCACTGCCCCCACGGCCCTTCCCTCCCCTCCGGAGCCCCGCAAGGCCCCAGGGATCCTGCCCCCCAGGGCGAGGGGTGTGTGGAGCCAGGGCACAAGCCAAGGCACCCAGGGGAGCCCCTTTGGTGCCGGGCTGTGGGCGCACGGGGCTGTCCTCCAGCCTGGCACCCCTCACCAAGAAACCCCAGGCCCCGCCAGACGATGCTGCTCATCACGGGCTGCTCATGTGCGGCTGCATGAGGGCAGCAGGTTTGAGCAGGAGCCCAGGACAACAGTGGCCACGTCTGTGGCTTCCTCGCTCCTGCTGCTGCTGGGGGCTGCAGGGTAAGGGCAACTCCTGAAAGCCCCATCCAAGTGGTGCACCCGGCTCCGCAGGGCCCTGCTGGGTGCTGGGCACCAAGGGGTTAACTGTTGGGACACTGATGAGCAATGCCGCACTGTCCCCCCATGCCCAGCCCCCACACGCATCTATCTGCACGGAGGAGCAGTCCTGCCAGTGAGGAGTGATCTTATCGTGGCCCCTTTATTAAAGCCCAAGCATATCTGCCTGGGGATTATTAAAAATTGGGGGGGGGACCCCGCTCGGAGGCGCAGACGTGCCGGTACTGCAAGCACCAGTGTCTCTGCAGATGGAGCGATAGAGGCCGTGTCTGCACGGGAACGGTGTGGGCACCCCAGGACAGGGGAGGACACAAACCCCGGCCCCCAGGAGCCCCTTCAGCCCCCTGGGCCCTGCCAGCAGCTCCTCTCCTCGCCCCAGGCATGCAGCCAGCTGCGCTTCCAGCACGGTGCGGGTGGCGAGGCACGGAGACCCCAGCTCTTGAGTGCACAGAGCAGCCAGTTTATAAGAGCAATCGGGTCGGCGTTTCAGGCTAAATTTTAGACCTAAAGAGCATCTCAGCGTCCCCTGGCTGCAGAGAAGTGAGGGTCAGATGGTTCCTCCATTGAGCCTCTGGCTCCCACAGCAGCTCCGCGCGTCCCTCGTGCCTCCGCCTGCAGCACCTGTGTCACTCCCTGCATCCCTGTGCCCGTCACCCACCGCTCCATCCGTCCCTCTGCCCCCCTCCAGTGCCGTGTGGACAGGCGGGACGGCTGCTCCGGCCGCTGGCACTCGGTGCCCACGGGCGCCCATAACTCACCGCGCATTTGATGGGCCGGAAGGAGAGGAGGTGCTCGGTCCTGTAGCCGCTGTTCCCACTCCAGGCCTCCCACCGCGGGTAGTCGCCCTTCTCCAGGATAAACTGCTGCCCCTGGTACTCGGGGTACTCAAAGCCCACCCAGCTGGAAGGAGAGGAGGAAAGAGCTGAGGGAGGCCAGACGCAGCCCGGGGACCAGCAGCACAGGGCAGGGGCACCCCTGCCACCCCTGTGGCTCTGTCACTGAGGCGGGCTCTGGCTAGTGGCAGGTCCCATCTCCCCAGGGCCGGGGCTGCCCAGCTCCCCAGGCACCCCCTCTGTGCTTTGCAGGTGGGGAAACAGGCACAGTGTAAGCAGTGTGGGGAGGGAGGCTGTGTGGTGACGCTGCAGCCACCATAGCAAGGACCCAGCTCTCCCGGCAACTTGGCAACCCCTGATAGCATCCAGGGAGCAAAGGGGGTTTGCAGGAGGAAGGTGCCCGGGGCCGCGAGGCTGGCGGGGCACTTACGGGCCCGACTCCACCTTGATGGAGCGGATCTTGCGGAAGCTGCGCTCCATGATGCTGGGGCACTCCATGAGGAACTCGCAGCGCTTGCCCTGGAAGCTCTCTTCCTCCCACACCGTGATCTTGAACTGCCCCAGGGTGTCCATTGGTTCGCTGGTCATGCGGAGCGCTCCGCTGCGGGCAGAGCCCACGCGTCACCTGGGGTCCTGCCGGCCACCTCTGCCCTCCCACATCCCCTGCCTGCCACTGGCGCCAGCCCCTCGCCCTCCTGCGGGATGGGGGCCACCTCCTCCCCTTCCCTGGGGAATGCGGACTCGCTGTGCAGTGTCCCCAAAGGCCCCTCCACTTTCAGGGGTCACTTGCAATGGCCACCTCTCTCCTCCAGCAGTGTCCCCTGAGTGGCACCAGGGGCGGGGGGGGGCTTGGTGTGGGGGGCAAAGGGAGCATCTCTGCAGTGTGGGCGCTTCGGGGCACACAGCCTGGTACTTACTTGGTCTGCAGGGCACAGAGGCGGAGGTGGCAGTGCTGGCAGCACCCGGGCCCCGGCGCCTTTATAGGCGGGCGGCGAAGTGCCGATGGTGCACAACGGCGGGGCGCTGCGTCAGCAGCCCGGGGCGCCCGCGCCAGCCTCCCGCTGTCCATTCCACTTAGGCAGCGTGGCGAGAGCGGCCCCCCCGCGCCGCGCGCCGTGCACAATGAAACTGCTGGGCTGTGTTTGCGCAGGGGCTCAGGGCACAAAGCCCAAAGGGCCTGACGCGCCGCTTTCCTTTCTGCCCCCGACAACGTCCCCGCTTGGCCCGAGGATTAGGGACGCTGCCTTTCCCAGGGAGCCTGGAGCCTTTGCCAGGGTGCTGCTGGTGGAAGGAGGTGCCAGGGTGAAGCAGGAGGCTGCGAGCGCCAGGGCGCTGATGGCTGCGGAGGGGCACGCGGGGCTCGCCTGGCCCCCCAGTCCGCAGCCGCCCTCCTGTGTGCCCAGCACAGCCGCGTGGGCAGGACACACAGGGCTGCCCAGGCTGGGGGCTCCGTGCCCTCAAGGCCGCACATGTGGGGCACTCTGGGCAGCGGGAATAGTCTGGCCTGAGGCAGCACCGTGCCATGCAGATATGCCCTATACTCCCCCACAAAGTCCAAGCTGAGGAGGCCATGCAGGCTGGATGAGAGGAAGTGTAAGTGTCTGTCAGGCCATGACATCCTGGATCTCTTGGTGGCAGCACTTCTTGTGCTGCTTGTGCTTAGTCCTTGTTGAGTCTGGGTACCACCCAGATCCAGTTGGGCAGTGGCCTCCAGGCCAGGCATGGTCCTGAGCAAGTCAGCCCCCACAGGGACCCCAGCCCTCTTCCTTGGGGTCCTGAGGACGGGGTTGGCACCCGAAGGGAGCCCAGCAGTGCCGGCAGCAGAGGGATGAGTGCGGGAGCCAGGAGGCAGAGAGCTGGTGCCAGGACGCTGGGCTCTCGGTAGGAGGGGCACGAGGGGTCGGAGCACGTAGGACTGGCGCCAGGACACCTGCGCTCTCTCCTGTGTACCACAGCATTGCCAGGAGCAGACTTGACCCTGGCCTGGCTGTCCCCTGCCTGGGAGGTGTCAGTGGCAGGGGGCGCCCACCGGCCG